AGGGTTTGGGTGGTAGCTGCAAGCATGCAAATACGCACAACATCCAGTCGGTTCTCAGTGGGAAATGGTGTTCATCTGTCCATCACACAGTTGTACAAGACGGTGCCTAGGAAATGGGCCTGTTTGTGTGGATTGATCCACGTGCTGAGGGGGCGGGTGGGATGAGAGTTGTTGGAAGTTCTCAAAATTACACCTTCCCGTGGTGAAAATGTCACTGCTAAATCTCACGTACTGGAGGAAATGAGAAGGAGCTTGAGAAAGCATTGCTTTAATTCACCTGTGATGAGTACGCAGGGCTGGCCTTTTAGCCTCTAGGTTATGAGAGGTGTGGGCGAGGAGAAAATAACACAGGTGTACTGAGGTATTATCAGGGATAAAGCTCCTAATTGTTTGTAGTCCATCTTCATAGAGGATGTTGGTACATAAGAGGCTCAACCGTAATAATGGCTGCTATTGTTTGGGAGATGGACGGTAGCTTCCTCAGGACATCAGTAACATCTCACAAGTAACTGAGGGTGTTGAGAAGATAGGACTAAGGATACAGTCCATATAGCTGAAGAAGAAGAGATTGGATTTATACCCCGCCCTTCACTACCCAAAGGAGTCTCAGAGTGGCTTACAAACTCCTTTCCCTTCCCCTCCCCACAACAGACATCCTGTGAGGTAGGCGGGGCTGAGAGAGCTCTGACAGAAACTGCTCTTTTTCAAGAGCAGCTGTGCCAGAACTATGGCTTGCCCAAGGTCATCCAGCAGGTGGAAGTGGAGGAGTGTGGAATCAAACCCGGTTCTCCAAGATTAGGGTCCATGCATTTAACCACTACATCAAACTGGCTCACACCACTACACTCCAGTCCAGTTTTAGTTTATTGTCTTAGCCATTGGTCATAACAACACAAAATAAAGCAAAATACAACAAACATACATCAAAGTGGGGTAAACCCTTCAATAACTTTCAGTAAGTCCTAGACTCAATCTTATCTTTTTTGCCGCCAGTGCAAACAAGGCCATTCTGCTGGTAACATGTGCATCAATATCAGATAGCAAGAAGACAGTCAAGTCCTGGTCTGAAATTCTATTATGCAATGGTACCACACCACTACACCAAACTAGCTGGTGATAGATTCAGGTGGGTAGCCGTGTTGGACTGAAGCATCAGAACAAAGTTTGAACCCAGTGGTGCTTTTGAGACCAACAAAGTTTAATTCTGGGTATAAGCTTTCGTGTGCATGAACACTACTGCAGGTGCATTGAAACAAGACTTCCTCAACCATTATATATAGGTAGCGAGAGGGTGGGGTGGGGGTTAGTTGCCAGGAAGGGTTAATTGGAGTCAAGATGCCTGTGTAACTGAGTGAGAGGTATAGCTAAGATTGGATTAAGGGAACTGGTAAAACCTGTGAATAGCATCAAATTCGCATACAGGTAATAAAAGCCTCCCCAATCTGTTTTCACTTCCCCAGTTGGCCTGCCCTGGCGGCCAGCCCAGGGGAGGGAGAGCTGGTCAGTTTCACTCCTCTTCCCCTTGGAGGGGGAGTGAAACCGACACGCTCCAATGGCGGGCTGAATATTTTCGGCAATGCAGAGTATTTCCTAAATCCCAGTATAATACCGATACTAGGATTCAAGAATATTGGTGTTTACTGATATTTTTTGGGTTTGGTTTACCTGAACCTGAAAAATATTGAATGTTTTCCATGCCAACCCCTTGTGGGAATCCCATGTGTGTGTCAGCTCCAAGAGGGGCAGGACACCCCCTCTTTGGCGTTTTTAAACTAGGAAAAAAGTCCCGTGGCCAGCCTGCGAAAGTGCCATCCCAATATTTGTCTGCGCAGAAGACATAGATGAACAACAGATACAGATAAGTGCAACTCTGTTTTCATTGCCAAGGTTCCTTGAGTCTGGATTTACTCTATACATATGTGGCTAATTCCTCCCCCCCCTCCCGTGGGCCTGAGGATAGTAGACTTTAAAATGTGGACTTTGGGGTTCCATCTCTCAGGCTCCTGTGTACAGTCAAATTGTATGTAGTCCCTGGATTAGGATATCAAAAAGTTTTGAGTAGATTCCCCTCAGACTCTGCACGTACAGCGGATCTGATGAGCATCTATGTGTTTACAGGATTAGGGCTTGAGATCATGGTCTGAGAAATCTCCCCCATCTCCTTTTCTGTTTTTTAACATTCAACCCATTGAAGCGTTCTGTTGAACTCAAAAAGCTCTCCTTACTGCTTGGTGTTAGATCCAAAGGAAAGGTTTGGATTTGGGGTTTGAGCATACATGGTGATTCTTGTTGGGATCTCAGTGAAAGAGCCGTGTGTTTTAAATTCTGGGGTAACAATGCTCATCTGGAGCAGCTCGTTTTGAGAGACTGAAGCTGAATCAAAGCCCCCAAATATAGCTTTGTCATATGGCTGACTTAATGGAACAGAGAAGCTGAAAGAACTGTTTTTATTATCTTCCCCTACACCGGGAAGTATAATCTTTCGAACTTTGAAAGATGTTTTAGAAATGGTAAAAATGGCATTTAAAAGAGATTCTTTCATGCAATTCACAAGTTTATTGGGCCCTTCACACACCGCCACTTAATCCTCTGCCTCCTGAGGTGTAAAATGTCCTCCTACCCCCTCCTTTCTGCCTCCCCCCCCAGCACAATCTAATCCAAGTGATAATTTTCTGACTTGCCAGGGGTTCACAAGCCACTCTCCACACTGCCTGAGGTAATTAGCAGTCCCCGTGGCAGAGAGTCGCAAACCCTGTTGGGCCAGCTTGGAGAATCAAGCCGGTTGGTTAATGTTCCTGGTGTCCCCCTGAGAACTGTAATGAAGGTGCCCCCCAAGCGGAGAAAATGAGGGGCCTCCACTAGCCATTGGCTCTGTGCCTCTGGACGCATTAAGCACAGGACGATCCAAAGGTGTGAAGACTGATTGATTGTCGATGGAGGATTTTCACTCTGGGGTTCAAGTGGAAGAACAGCCTGTCCTAAAGCCAACGGCTTACTTCAGGTCCTTGGCCGCAGTGCTGAGGTGCGCACAATCGGAAATAGATTCCTGCCCCAAGTTCAATACTTCAAAGAGATGTGTTTCTCCCCCCTCCCCCCCCCGTCCGATTATCCTGTGGGTTGATTGATGCATTATGGAGTCCAGGTCCGGGGTCCCCCAGTCCGTCTCAGAGTCAGGCATGAGTTGCGGGTTCTCCTCAGTTCCCACACACAGGGTGCCTAATTTGAACTGGGACTAAGGCCCATGTGGAGATGGGGCTTCCACTTCTCCCCTCGTGCCCCTTTCCTGGCCTGAAACAACCTAAAGAGTTTCTCTTGGGCCACTGGGGAAGCCCATGCGGTTTCCCCAACAGGCCAAAGAGTGCCCCAAGACCACCTCAGTTCACAAAAACGGCACATGGCAGGGGGGAGGGCGAAGCCCTTCTCCGTGTGCTCCGTGGTCTAATCTGCATTGGGCACCACCTGTGGGTGAGCTGAGGAGAAACCTTTCCCGCAGACCATTCAAAAGTCCCACACACCCAACTGGTTGCTTCAAGTGGTACAGCCCTGAAAGAGTTTTACTCTGATACTGTCACTTGGGCCTCTGAAATTCTTGTTTGCACACCTTTGCAGTGTTGGGGACCTGAGATTCAAGCCAAGTTTCATGACTCCTAAATTGCTAATGCCCCTGAATGCTGACGTTCCACACCAGGGCACATTCCACTCTGAACACACAGAGAAAAACAAGCAGCTGCCTTATACCGATTCAGATTATAAATACATCAAGGTCAGTATTGTTTACTCAAGACATGGAGCAGCTCTGCTGAATCTCAGGCTGAGGTATTTCAAATCACATATTGCCCAATCTTTTAAACTGGACATGCCAAGAGATTGAATTTAGGACCTTCTTAGGGTAGCCATCCCCCGCACCACGGTGGGGTTTCCCCCAATTTTGAGGGCTCCAATCCACCACTGGCCAGTGGGGGAAGCACCACCCCTGAAAAGCCCCCTCTCATGGTGCCGGCACTGGCACGATGATGTCACCCAGAAGTGACGTCATTGCGTTGCCAACGATGAAGGCAACACTCTAGGTTATGGTTTTGGGGGCACAGTCTGTCTGTTTCCACTCGTTTCGGAAGAAGTCTTCCTCAGAAAAGGATCAACTCCAAAGGTATTTTCATTACAGTCTCTTGCATGGAGTTGTCTGAAACCAATCTTTAAACAGAATACGCCAGTCACCAAGTTATCTTTATGAGGAACAAAAGCTTTCCAACTTAAACATCGTTGGCAAAAATTTCTCAGAGAAGTTGCCAATGATGTTAAAGCTGGAAGGTTCTTGTTCCTTATAAAGATCATTTGGTGATTGACGTATTCTATTTGAAGATTGATTTCGGACAACTCCGTGCAAGAGACTGTAATGAAAATACCTTTGGAGTTGATCCTCTTCTGAGGAAGACCTTCCAAAACGAGTGGAAACCTAGGTGCTCATCAAATTGATGCTTACATTTGCTGCAAGCGTTTGTCACCAGTCAGAACAAGCTGACACTTTGTTCATGTCTGTTGTAAGGTTTTGCCACAAGTTGGAATTTCTCCTATGTTTATTACTTTGTCAGTGTTGTGATTGGCTCATTATTTAGGAGTTTACATTTGTAAGTGTTGCTTATAAAACGATGTATTGTTTTTAACAGTGGTCTGTGATATGTGATTTGTACTGGGTCTATTCAACATGTGCATTCAGCCGTATTCAGTGGAACAGCCATTATTCACAGTGATTTCCCCCTGAAAGTAAGCTGCAGTAGCCAGAGGCAGCCATTTTGTGACTGCGCCCACCACACTGTGTCAGAATTCCAAAGGCGCCTGCAGGCTCAAAAAGGTTGTGGGGACCCTAGCTCTACCACCGGGGCATGACCCCTAGCATCGTCCCCGTGCTTTGACCCCCTCCCAAGCCAGACTTAGTGTTTATAACCAGTCACGTTTATTACAGTGATGAGGATATGAGGGGTTCTTCTGTGCTGAGTCTTCCTTTAGTGTTTCTTCCCTTTGGCCTTGCCCTTGGACTCCCGCCTTCCACTCTTCACGCTGCCCCAGGAACAAGATGTGATGAGGGAGAGGATTTTGCTGGGCTTCCGGCGAGAAGCTGCAGAGAAACCAAAAGACAGAGAGAAAAGGGGCTCAGGTCTCAGAGACAAGATATCTCTCAGCCAATCCTACAGTATTTTACTTGAAAGTATGCCCCGTTGAGTCCAATGGGACTCGCTCTCAAGACACACATAACGCATTGGTGGCGCAGAGTGCTGTCAAGTGACAGCCAACTTATGGCAACCCCTCCATGGGGTTTTCAAGATCAGAGGTGATTTGCCATTGCCTTCCGCTACACAGGACGTTAATGCCCACAAAGTGGTATATCAGTAGGGTGAGTGCATCGCGAGGGAAGGGACGGAGGGGAGTATTTCTGATAGGAACCCTAAAAGAAGTTCTGAGAGAGAGATGGACGGAGAAAGAGAAAAATGGATGGGTGAAGGGCAGAAAAAAAGAGGATCTGTCTGCACCACAGATTTCAGCTGGTTCCATACTCAGTTGACTATTCCTCAAGGACTCCTGGGAACTGTAGTTCTTATGGGAAGAGAAGAAGAAGAGATTGGATTTATACCCCGCCCTTCACTACCCGAAGGAGTCTCAGAGCAGCTTACAATCTCCTTTCCCTCCCCCTCCCCGCAACAGACACCCTGTGAGGTAAGTGGGGCTGAGAGAGCTCTTCCAAGAACTGCCCTTGAGATAACAGCTCGGAAATAACTTGCAACTGACCCAAGGTCACACCAGCAGGTGCAAGTGGAGGAGTGGGGAATCAAACCCGGTTCTCCCAGATGAGAGTCTGCACTCCTAACCCCTGCACCAAACAGAGGGGGTAACAGAAAATTCTCAGCAGTCTCACCAAATTATAATTCCCAAGATTCTTTGGGAATGTCATGAAGTCTATAAAATGGATATAAGCCTGTAGTGGAAGCCATGTCCAGAGACAGGAGGAAGGGAAAGATAAAACACTGGATCAATGGATGGGGATAAAGTTGAGGTGGTGGGGGGGGGAGAAAGAGATGAATAGGGAGAGAGATTTGAGGAAGGAGGGCAAAGAGGACATGTATGGCACAATGGGAGAAATGAAGCAAAGAATGGGTCACCTTTGATTTCATAAAATGAGAAATGTGGGGTGGGGCGGGGGGCTGAAATTTCTTTGGAAGGCAGGCCTTTTGCTCTGAAAATCTCCCTCCCCCAAGCTCAGAGAGGTGGTGTTCAGTCAAGTGAGAAGAAGGCTTTTAGCTGCACATATCCCTGGGATATGTGAAAAAAAGGTTCTGAGACAGAATCTTGGGTAGGTTTTTTGCCAACCTCCAGGTGGGGCCTGGAGTTCTCCTGGAGTTTCCAGATGAGAGAGATGGGTTTTCTGGTAGAACGGGGATGCTTTGGAGAGTGAACTCTACAGGCTTGTACCCACTGAGGTCTTTACCCTCTCCAGGCTTCACTTCAAAATTCTCCAGGGGTTTTCTGGGTGAGACTTGATGTTGGACCAAGCAAAGGTTAGAGAACAGGTGCCGTGCTGAACTTGGATGGGAGGAAGGGTAGGTCCTTGTGAGAATTTCTAGAGTCTTTTGGCTGGGGGGGGGAATGAACCCCCCAAGTCAACTTTGGATGAAACCTCTGTGTGTGGGGGGGGAATGCTGGTCTAGAACAGGGGCAGCCAAACTTGCTTAATATAAGAGCCACACAGAATACACATCAGGTGTTTGAGAGCCGCAAGACATGAACTTACACGTTTTTATTGGAAAATATGCAATTTTTATATTAAATTAAAGAGACAAATGTGTTCTCCGAGCCAAGCTAGTCTGCCAGTGTGGCAGGGCTCAGAGAACACATTTAAGTTTAGATGGGGGGGAGGGGAGAAGGAGAGAGAGACAGAAAGAAAGAAATGTGGAAAGAAAGAAAGTGGAAAGAAAGCAAACGGATGGAGGAGGGAGGGGAGAGGTGGAAAAAAAGCAACTTTAACTTTAAATGCGTCCTCCAAGCCCCCCCCCCCCTCCCCACAGTGGCTGGCATGGCTCGGAGAAGGGATTTAAAGAGACAAATGCCTTCTCCAAGCCAGTGGGCAGGAAGGGGGCTTTGAGAGTGCATTTAAAGTTAAAGCTGCTTTCTTTCTCTGCTTCCCCCCCCCTCAAGCTTTCCCAGGGAGGGGAACCACTGGCTGGGGAAGGGAAGACCGATCAGGGAGGCATGCCCTGCTGGGAGCCACAAAGTATATGTGAAAGAGCCACATGTGGCTCCTCAGCCATAGCTCGACCATCCCCTGGTCTAGAAGCATGGGGCTGGTGACTGACTCTAGGAATCGATGACTTGGTGGTTCTTAGGGGACAAAATGTGGTATCTCCTACCTCTCCGGGGAGATTTGCTTCGGCTCGTTCTTCTGCTTTTACTGCTCCTTCTGAAAGAACAGCCCTCATCAGACATCTCATCTCTCTGGTCTCATCATACCTTATATCCTCCCCCCCCCCGATCCCAGAATGAATTCAAGGCCAAAACTACACATGATTATGGGAGATCTGTGAATGGATCCACCATTTTTTTAAAAATTGTATTAATAGGGGCCCCTGAATCAGACTGGGTCTGCGTTGTGTGGAGAGCAGGGTTATCTTACCACAATGAAGAGAAGAAGAAGAGATTGGATTTATCTCCCACCCTTCACTCGGAGTCTCAGAGCGGTTTACAATCTCCTTTCTCTTCCCCTCCCCACAACAGGCACCCTGGGAGGTAGGTGGGGCTGAGAGAGCTCTTTCAAGAACTGCTCTTTCAAGAACAGCTCTGAGAGAACCCGTGACTGACCCAAGGTCACTCCAGTAGCTGCATGTGGAGGAGTGCTTGCATTTCATTAGAATGCCAACACAGCCACCATGATTCACAGCTCCTGCATTCACTTCTCTTCCTCCATCCCCTTGCTGAACAGACAGTTGGTAGGAGGAGGAAAGGGAGGGGTGACTGTACCTAGGGTTGCAAACCTCCAGGTGGGGCCTGGGGAATTACAACTGATCTCCCAGACTACGGAGATTTGGGGGGGGGGGAGAATTCTCTTCCTATTTGGGCCAGATGCTGCTTCTTTACTTTTGCTTCTATACTGCTTGCTTATCAATGACCTTGCAGGTTGCTGGTGTAGTGTCTGGGATGCCTGGAACCATGGGAGCGCTTTCGGTTCCCAGCTGCGGCCTCTAACGGCCTGGGGACCCTTCTCCCGCGTGCGGGAGCCTGGCTAATTGGCTTATGGAAAGGGGCGGTGCATACGAATACCCTATATCCCATTATGCTTGTAGGACCATTGCCATTCTTAACAGTGACTATGTTAATGCCTCCCTAGCTCTGCAATAAAGTATAACCTTTCTGATAAGCGTGTACTCCGTTGTTGGCTGTCGAACCTGACACTCATCCCTCCCCCCAATAGCTAGCAATCCAAAACAGTCCAGTGGTGCCTTCTGACACACTTCCGGTGATGTCAGGGGGTGTGACATATGCAAATAAGTTATGCTAATGAGCTCCTGCACCTCTTTTTCTACAAAATGACCCCAGAGCAGGAGCATTTCAGGCTGCTGATATCCTTGGCATTTGCCAAGCGGGTTCATTCGTACTGCCTTTGTTTTCTAAAACTGTTTTATTTTATTGCTCCTGGGACTGTTTTATAGGGTTGCCACCAAGGCTCCCTCTAAGCTGTGGAGTCTTGTGAGCAAAAATTCTATTTTGTGAGCTTACTGGCATTAAAGTTGTAAGCGAGCAATTTGGTGGCTGCATCAGTTAGTTTGCTGTGGAGCCATCTTTCCTGAACTAAGGCAACAATGTGTGAGCTGGCGGCTCAAAAACTGTGAGCTAGCTCACACTAACTCAGCTTAGCTAGCGGGAACACTGCTTGCTACCATCTGGGTGTAGCCCAGAGATATCATGGAATTACAACTGGTGGTTTTATTTACAGCCGTATTTCATCGAATGTGCTGTCATCTAACACAGTTAAAAGTCAAAAGTTGTTTCAGGCAGTTTGGTCCCAGTGACAGAGTATTTAGAGAATAGTGGGATAGTTCCAGAGAACCCAGTGTACATAAATCTGTCCTTTTTTCTGATTTAGTATGTTTGTGCAATGTTTATGCTTTAATAACCTAGATATATGAAGAGATGTAAGTTGTGGTAGTTCACTCTCATTGGATCAGATCAAGTGTTATTGTTAACTTTTATTTCTCTGTTTCTTCTTTGTTTGTTAAAACAGTTCAATAAAATTTAAATTAAAAAAAGAGAAAGAATTACCACTGGTGGACTCTCCAGGTGACAGAGAGTCCTGAAGCAAGCAGCTGCTTTGGAGGGTGGACTCTGTGGCATTTGACCCTGCTGAGCAATGCTCCCTGTAAGCTGTGGAGTCTTGTGAACAAAAATTCTACTTTATGAGCTCCTGGCATTAAAGTTGTGAGCGAGCGATTTGGCTGCTGCATAAATCAGTTTGCTCTGGAGCCATCCTTCCTGAGCTAAGACAAAAATGTGTGAGCTGGAGGCTAAAAAACTGTGAGGTAGCTCACACTAACTCAGCTTAGAGGGAACACTGCTCCACCCCCAAAGCTCTGTGAATCTCCCAGTCCAGATCCGGCAGTCTATTAAGTCTTGGGGGCCCGCAGGATAAATCCAAGTTCCCCCGACCCTGAGCTCCTCTACCCGTTGCTCTTCCAGGTACCTGCTCGAGGGAGGGCTGCTCTTGTATTCCACGTCTCCATCTGGGCTGAGGTCCTGGTGTCTGGGGGCCATCTCCAAAGACTCCTCCGACCCCATATTATCCGAGGCGGGAGAGATATCAGGCTCCAGAGTCTTTTCTTGAGTGAGGACGGGTGGCAAGAAGGGATCCTCGGTGCTTTTCTGACTCTTTAAGGATATGCTCAGGCTCCGCCTGCTCCGGGTGTCCTCTTGCGTGAGGCTGGGCGCTCTGGAGAAGGAGTACACAGTCCGGATGCTCACGGTGTCTGCCAGGTTAATGGCACTGGTGCTCTACGGGGAGACAGATCGCGGGAGAACAAGTCTGAGGAACACGTCTCAGTAGGGAGCATGTGGATTGCACCAAAGTGCGTCTTCTTCATTATCTCAGCCCTGTGAGGTAGGCCTGCTTTTCTTCTCCGTATGCCCAGGAGTTCTGCTACTTTCCCACCCACCCCCCGCCCCACCCCATCCTCTAGCATTAAAGTTGTTTCAAGAAGAAGAAGAAGAGATTGGATTTATACCTCACCCTTCAGTCGGAGTCTCAGAGCGGTTTACAAACTCCTTTCCCTTCCCATCCCCAAGACAGACACCCTGTGAGGTAGGTTGGGCTGAGAGAGCTCTTTCCAGAACTGTCCTTGAGAGAACAGCTCTGACAGAACTATGGTTTGCCCAGGGTCATCCAGCCAGGTGCAAGTGGAGGAGTGGGGAATCAAACCCGGTTCTCTCAGATTAGAGTCTGTGCACTTAACCACTACACCAAAAGATGCACTGGAATTCTTGGGAAATCACTGGGATAATTGGTTTGGAGGAAAAGGCTGGGGAAAACGTCTGGCTTCTCCTCTCACTGGAACAGAGCTCATAGAATAGCCTTGCCTACGTCTACTGCTTTCCTTGCCTGGAGGTCTAAAGCCAGTTTGGTGTTGTGGTTAGGAACGCAGACTCTAATCTGGGTGCACATGTTCATACAAGCATAATGTACCTACCTCACAGGGTGTCTGTTGTGAGGAGAGTAAGTGGAGGTCATTGTCAGTGGCACTGCAAGTGAAGGGCGGGGTATAAATCCAGTCTCCACCTCCTCCTTTGAACACTACTGGGTTTGATGCAAGGAGAGGCGGACTACGAGATGCTGAACAAGTCACGTTTATTCGGTACAACACAAGAACAAGAACTGGCCGGCAAGGGCCAACTATATATACCCACCCTAGACACACCTACAGTCCTACTGGAGGGTTTGAATCTCCCGCCAAGTCCCTATTGGTGGACTAAAAGGTGGACTAGGATCCTTGGCCCCTATGGTGTTAGGAGCCAAGCTAGGGGACTCGGGACGTGGACCTCTAGTGGCGGTCCACAGACACAACATGCGTCTTCTTCCCAGAATCCCTTAAACTCTCAACACCCCAGCTTGCGCTTTCTCTTGGGTTGGGCTGTCCCACTTTGCATTCAAGTGTCAGGAAGGATCTAGATTCCTCTTGTGAAATACTGGCCCATTCTGCATCTAGCATTTGCTCCGCTGTTTTGGCAAACCCAGGTTGGAAGAGAAATTCCTCTCTGCATTGCATGCAACTTTCACTTTGATCGATTGTCGGATTTTATGGCAGTGTCCAGGACTGCGTGCCGCTTTCCCTTCGTTCGCTCTCTCGGTTTTATGGTGGCCGTCTGCATAGATTTATGGCTGTTTTATGGCCGTTCAAGGGTGACTCTGCAGTCAGTACGGTGTTGGCCCAGGGGTATCTGAATGTGGTTTTGAGCCGCATCTTTTTCTGTTCCAGGGTGGGTTTGGTAAAACAGTAGAGCGAATGCTAGATGCAGACTGGGCCATTGAAATAGGTTTCCTGAACTACTTCTTTTCTTGAAGGCGGAATAACATATTGTGTTTGGCCCAGAACAGGTTGAAGAGGAGGTGGGGAGAAGCTGCGGCTCTGTGGGTTGAGCATCTGCTCCCCGTTGTTGGATCCCCAGGCATTCGAAATAACTCCACGTTTGGATCAAAGCAAGGTTTATTTCAAAGCGATGGTTCAAGCAGGAACAAGGACATTGTTAGGAATAACTACAAATACACATGAGCAACATAATAAAGGGATTTGAACCAGGTTAGGGCCAATGAGCCCAGTTCCCGCTGGCGGGAATAGAACTTACAAACGCGCGCCCATTTCATGGGAACATAACAGTTCTACACAATCAACACAGGTTCAGTTCACAGGCTAGATACCCATAACAAGCTGAGCGAAGCACCGACTCCCACCACCAGCTGCATGACCTTGGTCAGTTCCGCAAAGTACAGAGTAAGCATAAGGAAGCAAAAGGAACCAGGGGGGGGAAGGGTACAAGATGTGTTAAGCAGGTAACACCAGATACAATGGCAGCTAGCTGACACCCGTGCAGAAGGGCCCGGGTTCAGTTCCTTGTGTTTCCCGATAAAAGGATCAGAATGTCGAAGACCTTTCCCTGTGGCTTTAGAGAGCCCCTGCCAGTCAGATTAGATGATCCAGTAATCTGCTTGAACCCCATTGAGAAAGGAGGACTAGAAGCAACAAAAATCAATTCACCCCAGGTCTCCCTTGCAAGTTTCAGGACAGAGGGGGGACTTCAGAAACCATGGCTGCAATCACACACACACTAAATAGATCCAGAGGCATTGGCCATGTTAGTCTGTTGCCGCAAAACAGGAAAAAGCCCAGTAGCACCTTTAGACTAACAAACTTCATTGTAGCATAAGCTTTTGAGAAACACAGCTCTCTTTGTCAGATGCATCTGACAAAGAGAGCTGTGTTTCTCGAAAGCTTATGGTACGCACTAAATAATCTGCTTTCGATGCACTTTCAACTGGATTTTGCCACTTAACACAGTAAAATCCAGTTGGGAAGTGCATTGGAAGTGGATTGAAAGTGGATTATTGAGTGCGTCGCAGCCCATGTCTCCTACGTCCCTCAACATTTCCCTAC